ACAAAATTCACTGTAGTTCAGTTCTGCAGTTTAGCTCATGATGTGATCCTATAATGCAACTTTCCACATTTGCTCAGTGCTGTAGTTCTCTCTTAATTTTCTCATTTTTAAAGCAAATCTTGCAGGAACCAGAGGACGCCATGTTTTCCCTGTCAGAGCTAGCGCCTCTGAATCAGCACCAGAACAGGTCTAAACTGCTGAAGCCCTGGTGGGAGGTCTTTATGGACTACCTGGTGGTCCTGATGTTGATGACATCTGTCCTGGCTTGTACGGAGCAGCTGTCCAGGGACCGAGTAGTGTGCATTCCTTTGGATTCAACTACAAACACTAGTGATCACAGTCACTCAAAAAGTGCCAATGTGGGACTGTCTCCATCGTCACAGCCTCAAATGCACCACGCACACAAAATCGGCCCAAATCTTCACTCTGCACCTCGGGGTCGGCGCACGCATTTGGTGTACCAGCAGTACATTTATATTAGCCAGGTAAAGTAGTGCTGGTTTTGTTGTGTTTGTTATTCACTCTGTGAAAGCATAGAGTGAGCTATATTTAACATTCTGAACCTTTATGTAAAAGGACCTGCTCATACCCACAGGTTATTAAACCGCTTATCTCAGCTCTACAGTGGAACTTTAATCTCCCAGTTTCTTCTGATTCACACTTTGACTGTTTCAGTGCTCACTCACAGCTCTCATGGTGTTGCTTATTTAAGCCTTACTAACCCTCGGAGATAGAACCATAGTTTACCCCTATAGCCAACCTATAGAAGTAAGCCTATAAGCAAACCAATAGGTGGGCTGTAGACATACTCACAGAACTGGGCTTACAGTGTATCCTGTATTTTAAGCTTTTACCCATTCAAATCAATTCAATTAAAAAGAATAACTTTAGCACCCATTTCAGTTTTTATACTAATCCTCTTCCTTTGTTAACAGGTAACCCTTTGTTATTAATGTTTCACAGTGTATGTCTGCTGCCCCCATGTGGTCAAACAATCAATTGCTGTTTGCCTGTTTCTATAGGTGTGCTACCATGAAGCTTTGCCTTTGGCCTCCCGCTTCTTCCCTTACATGGCCTTGCTTCAGTCCCTCGTCCTGGTAGCCAGTGGCTCCTTCTGGCTCCACTTTCCCCACACCTCATCCCGCATAGAGCAGTTCCTATCCATCTTGGCAAAGTGCTGTGAGTCACCCTGGACATCTCAGGCCCTGTCTCATGCCGCCCGCCAAGAGAGCATCCAGGAGATGGTGGAGGAGGGAAGACGAGCACACCAACCACACCACCGAACTTCCACTTCCCCGACAGTGACCCACACAAGACACTCGAGCATAGACTCAGGCACAGACAGCCCACTTTTAAAGAGGATAGACAGCACATTTGCCACCCCTCCATCCCCTTGTCCCTCCACACTGTCCTGTAACTCCACCGTGTCTTGTGTATCTCTTGACTCCCGGGAGCAACTTCCTTCTTCCAGCCCATCAGTAATGGCTGACAGCCACAGCCAGGTAATCAGTCTGGATAAAAGTGATGGGGAACAGGCAAGGGCGCTGTTTGAAAGGGTCAGGAAGTTTAGGTCCCACTGTGAAAGCTCAGCTGTCATTTGTAAGGTAAGAGATCCTCTAGTCTGCTAGATTTACAGATCAACGTCTTTGCTACCTTAATTTTTTTTTAATTCCATGTTATCGTTTAGTCTTGATGCCCATTTTTCCCTCTTCAGGTCTACTTGGCTCAGACAGTTTTCAAACTCCTGATTGTAACACTGATTATGAGTTACACAGTCCCTCTTCTCGGCTCCCTGTCCTTCAACCACACCTGTCACCCTGAGGAGCGGGCCCTGGTGGGCTACGCCACCTTCGAGTGTATCCACGTGCTCTCCTCACTTCTCCGCAAACTGCTGGCAGCCTACCTGACCTTACTGGGCCTGTATGGTCTGCTTAATTTTTACACTCTCACCTGGATTTTAAGCAGGTTAGAATAAAAAAAACGTTAAAGGTGCACTTTTCAGTGTTTTTATAGCAGAAAAGGTAGGAATATATTTTTTTAAAGTGGATAGTGTTATCCAAAGAAAGTTAGAGTATGTATGAGTGCTACTTTAGGCTTTAACAGGCTTTGAGGAGAGAAACTAGTCTAAATGTAAAAAGTATAAATAAATAAATTATGCTCCTGATGATGAGCATATCAGAAAACTAGTTACAGGGGTAAAAAAAAAATGTAGTGCTGTGTTTTTGGCTACAAAATATCCTGTTTGATGTTTCTCTTTGTTTTTTCTTTCTTCTTCTTCTTCTGCCTTGGTGTGTTTGATTCAATTCAGCTCTCTGCAGCAATATTCCTTCCATTCACTGAAGGAGCTGAGCTCCCTGAGAGATTTTCCTGACCTGAAGAACGACCTGGCCTTTCTTATACACATGTTAGACCAGTACGACCCTCTGCTGGTCCAGCGTCTCTTTGTGTTTTTGTCACCTGTCAGTGAGAGCAGGCTGCTGGAGGAAAGCTTAGAGAGGTGCTGGGGGGAGGAGAAGCTGCACGCCATGATCAGCGTGGATGCAGACGGCCGCTCCAGGCTGCAGCTGGTGGCCCTACCTCGCCTTCCTCCAGCCCTCTTCACTCTCAGCCAGCTTCAGGTCCTCAAACTGGAGCTCATCGCAGACACCAGGTTTACTGCACACATGACCAGCATGACCTCACTCAGGCAAGTTGTACAGTGCAGGGGCGTAGTCTTTTAAAGTATTTATTTTAAAGTATTCACATATTTTTAGACTCTAACTTGGACTTTTATGTGGCATTTCAACTACAGGGAGCTGCACCTCTACCACTGCACAGCAACTGTGGATCCCAGCGCGCTTGCCTTTCTCCAGGAACGTCTAGAAGTCCTTCAGCTTACCTTCACTCAGGCATCAGAGATCCCCAGCTGGGTCCTCTCCTTGCGAGGCCTTCATGAGCTTCACCTCTCTGGTCGCTTAGGCAGTGACGGCGGGGTGGGCCGTAGCTGGGCACTGGGGAGCCTACGCCAGTTGCGTCACCTACGTGTGCTGGTGATTCGAGGCATGTTGCAGCGAATCCCCGGGGAGCTCTGCGAGGTGGCAGGCAGCTTGGTGAGACTGGAGATCCAGAATGAGGGCACGAGGCTGCTTGTGCTGATGGGCCTGAAGCGGATGGTTTACCTGACAGAGCTGCATCTGCAGGATTGCCAGCTGGAGCGTTTACCCTCTGCTCTGTTAGCACTGACCAACCTCCAGGTGCTTGACCTGCAGCACAATAACCTGAGGACTCTGGAGGAGCTGCTTAGTCTGGCTCACCTTCGTCGTCTCTCTTGTCTTAGACTTGCTTACAACCGTGTTTTGGTACTGCCGGCCAGCGTGGGTGTGCTTAGAGGCCTCGAGCTCTTGGATCTGTCAAACAACCAGCTCCAGAGCATTCCTCCAGCGCTCTTCACTCTTCGACGCCTTCGGAGGCTCCTGCTTGCCGGTAACCTGCTGGAGGAGCTGCCTGCTGAGGTGAAGGCACTGCAGCTGCTCACAGAGTTGGACCTCAGTGGGAACAGGTTGGAGAGGCTACCCACTGAGCTTTTCAATTGCTGTTTGGAGTTGCGCACCCTGAATATGTCTCACAACTCTCTTAGCTTCTTACCCAGAGAGATTGCAGCTCTAAGTCAACTGTGCAGGCTGGACTTGCGCAGCAACAATCTGGAAGAACTGCCTGCTGAACTGGGCGGCTGCTCAGGGCTGCATGGAGGTGGTCTCCTAGTGGAAAACTGGCTCTTTCTTTCTTTGCCACCACATGTCAGAGACTTCCTGAGCCGCTCTTACACCCCAGGTGGTGCACACACAGAGGAGCATTCCCGGCCTGAGTCTGACAGTTTTCCCTACTTCTCTCCAACACAGTGGAGCTTCTCTTCTGCTCTGGAATCACAGATATAAGGACAACAGCTATCAGACTGGTGACATAATAAAATAAAAGCACTGATGGAGTTTCTTACATTTTAGAAGGTTTTTCTTCAACTACTGCACCAGGCAAATTCTTCACCAATCTGCCCTTATTGTCCATTTTCTTTTTAGAAAATGCAGAACTAACAGATGGACTGCTCTGTATTGCATTGAAAAATATTTTTGGAATATTTTTGAATAAGAACATCTGTGATGAATGCATAAATTGTGAGTTAAAATCAAATGAGTGTGGACATCTCCATTAATATATTTAAAGAACACTACTTGTCATTCTGTATTTGTAGTTTTCCTGTTAAAGAATGTGAGATTTTATAGATGACAGAGCAATAAAATTTATTATTTTGTAAAGATTTCTGCAGATCTGCAGATACTTCCTCATTGCTTCCTGTATAAAAGTATTATTCAAAGTATTATGAAAGCTGAGACTTGATGCCAGTGTATCCATGTTGGATAGTTGGAAATACTGATACTTCTCGTTATTAATACAGTTATTATCAGCCCTTGGCGCCCCGTTTGTTATTCGTAATTATGATTTTAATAAAAGGTTGTAAACGTTAATAATGCTTCAACGACATTAAAGCTGTACAACACTAAGGCATTCATTGACCACTAGAAGGCACTAAAGACTTTTAATTCTCAGTGTTTAATGTTTCCAGAATTAAAGCTTGATTTATACTTGTGCAAGGAAACATAGAAATCACAGTTACATATACTTTTATTGATGGAGTCCGAATTTCTTCACACTGTTAACATCACATCCTGGAGAGGAGTTTTGCCTCGCGCGACTTAAACGTCTACATTTCATACAATTTTAACGATTTCTGTGAAACAAACTAACAAAATTGAGCCAGCCTGAATCAATTCAAGGAAGCTGTTTTATATTCAAGGTCACAGGCCTGCATTATCATACGCAAACACATCCCGGTTAATTTTATACTTATATTGCAGCAAAACGTGACTGTATTAATTTATTCGAGTGTCCCTCCCGAGCTCCCCTACGGAGAGCAGCTACAACTGTGTCCCGCTTTTTTCAACTGCGACGGACTGCGGCACACTTTCTGTCCAATCACAGGCTGCTTTTCATAGAGGTCGCCTAAACGGGCGAATGATATCGACCCGCTTTAGCCGAGGCGGAACTTCCGGTTCGTGGTATAAACCAACTGAGGCCTCTCCATGCGGTTGTGATCTATCGGGGCAGTCGAAGCTAACACCGAAACGGTAGGAATCTTTGAACTACTTCATTGTCCCGCTTGGGCGGCCTTCCGCGTCTCGTTTCACCAGAAGAAGCTTGTGAATTATATTTGTTTGATTTGGGCTGAAGTAGTGTATGCTATCGCTAAAAATAACCTTTCGTTGTTTGTTTTAGGGGACGGTGTTACTTAGCGTTTTGTAGCCTAGCATTTGATAGCCTAGCAAAGCAATCGCCACTTAGATTTCCTTATTTACACGAAATATGCCGCCTTTTTGTCATCCATAATACACTCCCGTTACAATTACGAAAAGATCGCCTACTTATGCTGTTGGGAATATTTAGTTGGTCGTAGCGGATTAGTTGTTGTCGTGTAGAAGATTAGCTTGCCACGTTAGCAATGGTTATGCAACACAATGGCTTTCTAGTGTTGTATGCGCTTAGAAGCTAACCGGTTTGGTCAATTTGACATCGTCGGTTACGGTTTTGACCTTGTTTGTTATATTGAGTGTACGTGGTCGCACAGAATAGTTTCTGTTTACAAAACACTACAGAGTATTCATATTTAGGCCTGCTCTGTTGCGTGTTTTCTTGCTTAGCATTTCTTAACCACAGGCTTACTCTTTAAAATTCAGTTCGAGTTATACACAATAGAGCTAATGTTTGGAGTCACGTTTATAACCAACTACGATTTTCATAGTTGCAAATAGTCAAACCCGCCTTGTAATGATAGAATAAAATAAGACTTTTTAAATGTATTAAAATATGTGCAACAAGTGGGCTCGAATAAGAACCTCGCTTCATATAATCTAAGTAAAGGCTCTCTTACAGACACAGATAAAAGACAGTGATCATTAATACTCAGCTGTATTTTCTTTGTTCCAGACAAATACAATGGCTGAGAATGACGTTGACAACGAGCTCCTTGATTATGAAGAGGATGAGGAGCCTCAAGGAGCCCCCGAGAGTGCAACCCCAGCAGGCAAGAAGGAGGTGAAAGGTTCCTATGTTTCCATCCACAGCTCTGGTTTCAGGGATTTTCTTCTGAAGCCGGAGCTTCTCCGCGCCATCATTGACTGTGGTTTTGAGCATCCATCTGAAGGTGAGACACATTCAACTGTTCTGGTACCCTTTGTTAAATGGGACTAGTGGGGAACTGGCAATTGAGTTTGTTTATGGCATACCCTTACACTACACTGGTAGAACCAGTCAAAAGCCGTAAGTCTGCATATTCTTCAACAGCGCTTACCTTATCTTGCTTGCATACATTAAGAATTTTTGAATAGCTGGACTTGCTTTGTGCATCTAAAAAAATGCACCACTCCCAGTAGTACTGCCACTCCTCTTGTGCTCTTTATAGCAGTTCAAAGAAATAGCTTTGCAGGTAATAATAGGACTGCACTTAACATTAATATTTGTTGTGTTGTTTAAAAACACAGTGCAGCATGAATGCATCCCACAAGCTATCCTGGGCATGGACATCCTGTGCCAAGCCAAATCTGGTATGGGCAAGACGGCTGTGTTTGTGTTGGCCACCCTGCAACAGATCGAACCCGTTGACGGACAGGTTAGTATGTGTGTTTAACGTGCTTTGACTGTGTAGTAAATTAAGTGTTTACATGGGTTGCGTTCAACAAAAGAAACAAAGAAGTGCCTTCAATGTTGAGCTTTTCATTTATTGGCTATGGATGTTATTAGTCTGGTAATTAATGAACAAGCCAATAAAGGCTGATAGAGGTCCAAATGTTTTTGTTGTCCCGTTTTTTTTGTTTTTAACTTAGCTGAAGTCAGAGCCACCTGTGAGAGGGCACAAACAAGACTGATCAAAATCAGTCTTAGTCAGAGCTAGGGAATGCCAACAGAATCAATACCCATGGTACCATTTTTATACCAGGATTTTTGAGATGCAGCAGTGCTCGTCTTTGCTACCACCGTCAGCTTATGCAGGGAGGCAGGAATTCTTCCAAAACTGAAGGAGGCAGGATGTGGTTAAAATTATTCTATTGTCAAAGAACAGGTGGAAGATGGAAAGTCGTGCAACTGCAACAAACTTCTGCTCCGTCTCTTTTTTAAGAAAGGCAGAGTCGGCTGTGCAGCTACTTTGCATTCAGGTGGCTGCAAAATCTGAGATAATTGATTTGCAAGAGGCGATATGCAAACAATATTTGGACTTCCAATTTAGCAAGGCACATGAAAGACGGGTATCCAGAGCTATTTATGTAGTTCACGTTGAGGACGAATAAGTTAAGAGTGACATCCAAAGTTTTGTCCTACAAATCTTATCCAGAATCACAGATTACTGCTTATTTTGTTTGAGACTCTCCATTGTAAAATAACCTTGAAATGTTTGTGCTCACTTAATGTAACTGTAACACGAGTTACAGTCACTTGCTAGTAAGACTCATGGGCTACTCTGCAGCCATCCTAACATCTCAGTCTGGGTCTTGTCAGTAAAATGATGTCAACATTTAAATAAATGATCAGAATTCTAAAACGTTTTAGTAACAGTTTAAGTACCTGGCATCAGCCAGTCATTTTGTTTCACTATCCAGCTGTGTGATTCTACTGGTATTGGTACCAACTGATGAATTTCTGGGATTATGACATTCCTTATTAATATACAAATAACAGATTTCATAGGTGACTTATAACCAGCAGGTTTCTTTGTTGGTATATGCAGTTTTGAGGACAACAATAAAATATGTTTTGGCGGGAAATCTACGGAGTAACCAGAAACCCGTCTTAACGCTGCATCAAAACCTTCCACATAACTTGACAAGAGAAATGTTACTACAGGTTGGGTTGTCTAAGTTGCGCTTGCGGCTAAGAGGGGTTTCTGTTTAATATGTAGATTTCCTGCTAAAGCATGAATCAGGCATAAGGGTCGATTGGCTTAAGTGTTCATGTCAGTGCTGAAATGCAGCGCAGCCGATCCTGGTGGAATTTGGGGATTTGAGAGGATGGATGACATTCATTGTGTATTATAGCATCAGTCTATTTGATTGTAAGTGGCATTTTCATGTTGTGCTTGTTGTTATGTAGAAATTATACACCAAAGAGTTGATAGATGGCTCTGCATGCTCTGCATTTCCTTGTCTCCAGGTGTCTGTATTAGTCATGTGTCACACACGAGAGCTGGCCTTCCAGATCAGCAAAGAGTACGAGCGTTTCTCCAAGTACATGCCCACCATAAAAGCAGCCGTATTCTTTGGTGGCCTGCCTATCAAGAAAGACGAGGACGTCCTGAAGAAGAACTGCCCTCACATCGTTGTCGGAACTCCGGGCCGTATCCTCGCCCTGATCCGGAACAAGACGCTCAGTCTGAAGAACGTCAAGCATTTTGTCCTGGACGAGTGTGACAAAATGCTGGAGCAGCTAGGTGACTTTTCTTTGTTTTTGTCTTCCCAGTTTTCACCAAGTCGACAGCAAAACTGCAGTATTCAGTCGCAATCTTACCTTAGTCACTTTTTCACTCTTTTTCTTTCTTCACTTGGCAGACATGAGGCGTGATGTTCAGGACATCTTCCGGATCACACCGCATGAGAAGCAGGTCATGATGTTCAGTGCAACACTGAGTAAGGAAATCCGTCCAGTGTGCCGCAAGTTCATGCAAGATGTAAGTAAGCAGCGGAGGGCTGCTTCACCTCTGAATTTCTGTTGTTTTTTGTGAGACAACTCATCTCCACCACTTTCGGTCTGCACCGAAAACTGCTGCACTGAAGTTTTTAACTTACCTGCTATCTCATGTACAGCCCATGGAGGTGTTTGTGGATGACGAGACCAAACTTACACTCCACGGCCTGCAACAGTACTACTGCAAGCTGAAGGACAGCGAGAAAAACCGCAAGCTATTTGACCTGCTTGATGTGTTGGAGTTCAATCAGGTGAGGGAACATGCATCTTTATATTGTTGCAAGCAAATGTTTGTATTCAAAATGTCCCAAATACTCATTGAAAGTTGTATTAGAAATTGCATCAGAGGTCTAACTCGGTGCTTCTTTGGTGACCTGCGTGTTAATGCCCGTGCGTTGCCTCTAGGTGGTGATCTTCGTCAAGTCAGTTCAGCGCTGCGTCGCTCTGTCCCAGCTACTGGTGGAGCAAAATTTCCCTGCCATTGCCATCCACAGGGGAATGGTTCAGGAGGAAAGGTGACTTATAAACTCTCAACTCGTAAACATGCTCTGCAGAGCTTCAAATGTGTTGTGTATTTGCGAGAGCAGGAGGCCTCATCCTTCAACTCAACACATTACTGTCTTTAAAGAGTGCTTGCTGATAATCCTCTTGATGGTTCTGTCCTCCTTCCCCTTCTTACCCTCTCTCAGGCTGTCTCGCTATCAGCAATTCAAAGACTTCCAGCGGCGGATCCTGGTCGCCACAAACCTTTTTGGCCGAGGGATGGACATTGAGCGAGTGAATATCGTCTTCAACTACGACATGCCAGAAGATTCTGACACCTATTTGCACAGGGTGAGAAATGCATTTCAGAACCCCTCTCCTTTTTCATATGCTGGAAAGTTGGCTGTCTCATTTGCTCATCGAGCACCGTGTGAATGCTAGTGGTAGTCCATGTTGCAGTTTACTTACTCTTACCTTCTCTGCACCCCTCAGGTTGCCCGTGCTGGTAGGTTTGGGACCAAAGGCCTGGCTATAACCTTTGTGTCAGACGAGACTGATGCCAAGACTCTAAACGATGTGCAGGACCGCTTTGAAGTCAATGTGGCAGAGCTGCCAGATGAGATTGACATCTCATCTTACAGTAAGTGTTTTTGGTTTTTCTTATTTCTGAATGCCTCCTTAAAAGCATACTGGTGTCTTTAATAACATTAGAACCACTGTGATCTATGGATTAAAGAGTTTTGCAGCACTTTATTATTAAATCATTGCGTTAATGCTGAAGCGTTCCCCACAGAAAATTGCAGTAAACCTTTACTCGGCAACAAGACGCAACAGTTGGTGCTGTCACGTTAACTGAAGCGCTCCTCAAATCCTTCACATATTTAACCTGTTGCTGAAACGTCGGTATGCTCAGCTGTTGCTCATCGTTCTGATGTTTTGCATGCTCAACTCGTCTCTCCTTCTCTCTCCCTCTGTAGTCGAGCAGTCCAGATGAGTCCCCCGGCCAAACGGCAGTCTGCTCTTCGTGGATCTCGTCTTGTATTTGGAAGTAGACGTACTTCACCGTTGATTTGAAAGCTCTGCATTTCCTCTGTTCACCAAACATTTATTTTTATTGTCAGTTTTTAGGGGGGTTTGGTTTTAATTTGTCTTTGTTTTGCTTAATGGAATTAAAACTTTTTATAAAATGTCATTTTACTGTTGTGGTCACTTATGAGGATGCTGTCTCTGCTCAGTTTTCATTGGTTTCAGTCTCAGCAGCGACAGAGCTTCAGGGAAACCTTCAGAGGAACATGTGATAGGAGTCTGTGCTTTTTCTTTATGTCCAAGCAAGATTTGTATAGGAGATGTTTTGTTTTCCTTCCCAGTACAAAAAAAGTGGCTGTTTGGATGGTAATCAAAAAGTTGTAAAGACCCAAATTTGGCTCATATGGCAGCTCTTTCTATGGATTTTTAACTGAATATCCTCCAATAAATGAAGTCACCACATGAACTGGTAGTGATGAATTTGCAGATTTTGACGGGGCAAAACATGTCACTGTTTAACTGTATTTTTTTTCTTGGTATTTTCTTTTAAATATTAAAATTCAAAAAGTGTTAAACAAGTGGAAATCTGCTTAGATGATTTAGCAACAATTCAATACTGGATAAACATCACTGCAGAGTCATATTTTTTATTGCTGCACAATAATTCGATATTGGATGTTGATATCTTAAGTGCAGTTGGGCAGACACCAATTTATCTTGCCATTAAGGTAACTTTTCTTCAGTACCAATTAGTGACTATAGTGTACATGTGTAAATACATGAAATGCCTGCTAAATGTTAACATAGTATGGCTCGTTGCAGGGCTGCTAGCATAGCTGCGAAATTGCAGATCTTTGGCTGCTCCGCCACAGCAGCTGGATCTGCATGTTTGATCTGACTCAATTTAAACTAGATGCATTTATCTGCATGTTAGGTGGATGTGTTAAGCGCTACACCATAGAGTTGCTGTATAATTTAACCTACATGACAAAAAAAACCCTCTTTTGATAAATGTTCAACAGTGATTCTCAGAGAGAATTTTATTTTTAAAAAAGCGAAACTATGATGAACTCATTCCAGCTCTTAAAGTCAACTGTAAACTAACCAGATTCCAAGAAGAGTTAATCACAAGGAACACTTCTTTTTTTTTTTTAAGCATAAGATCTTAAGCATGACTCATTACAGAAAATTACAGACTTATTAATGTACACTACTAGTTCTACAGTCATCATGCTTTCAAAATTGGCACTTAATGCTCATAAAAGATCTGAACCCTGCCTCGTCCAGTGCTAAACTATACATGGACTACTTCAGTATAATGATTGGCCCTTATACAGCAGATAGAACTACAAAGGTAACAATGTGTCTGTACATAGCTGCACTATAGTTTCCCTCAATAAAACTAAAGATACAATATCAAAACCACAGCATCTTCATGGGCAAAATAGCAATGGAAAACAAAAGACATTTCTTAGCAAATTAAAGTTTAAGAAGAACCCCTGATAAGGATTTGGGGCAGCAGATGTTTTGTAGTTGAGATGGTAGGGGGGAAAAAAATTCACCTCAGGGCAAAAATGTGTAATTTATGGCACAAACAGATAAAGTACATTGGTGCTTCCACTGAGACGAAGTTACCACTGTATACAGTAATTTTTAAAAAAGGCAGTTTGTGATTTCAACTCATCTGTATGAGGATACCAGATTAGGCTGTGAATCAAGGTTGCTGTAAGGTGCTCAAACGTCAACCCAAACACCAAGTCGGGTGGATAATCATAATAAAGGGCTAAGCCATCCGTAACGTACAACCTGAAGATAGACTTGACAGTATTAGTGTCCTTAGAGGTAGGCTCCTGCTGACATTTGGCAGCTGTAGACCTCAACCCCCCGGAAAAAAAAAAAATTACATAAAGCTCTTCTCACAGCCGTGTGAAACGACTGAACAGCTTTTCAACAGCATTTCTCAGAAACAGGACGCACTTTAACACGAAGAGGCTGCTCAGTTACGAGCCAGATTAGACGACAGAGCAGTTCCACCTCCAAATCACAAATAACACATTTACCGTGGCACACGCAGCTTTCCATATTTCATTTATAAAACAAACCAGAGTGGACGATTGTCTCCTTCTGCCATCACGAGTCAGGATTGTACCTGGCCAAATTAGGTGGTCGACTTGTTGGCGACAGAATCCCGAGCGTGTTCTTCGGATGCTCGCGAAATGTCTCAGTTTCTTGTGAAGGCAAGGCGAGGGGATGAGTCCAGCTGCGTAAACAACCTTTGACATGTTTTCCCACTAATGCCTCCAACCACCAAGTTCAACTCCAACTTTATCCATTGTATATACCTCATCTCCTCCTTTATCATTTGTTGTTCATCATTAGATATGGCTTTCTGACCAAATCTGAGCCCGGGGTCAAGTCCTGGTTTGATGGCAGTTCCTCACCCTCTCTCGGAGCTCAGCAGTTTTGTCCGTCTGATATTGTTGTTCTGCCACATCGATTCTCCGAGAATAGCAGCACCACCTTCCCCAGTGGCAGGCTGCTGTGTCATCATGTCTGTCTCGACAATAAATACCAGAGAATAAATACCATAAAATGACCCAAACCACATTCCCGTCAAAACATCTGAGACAAACATCCATCTTCTACCAACGCCATCCTATACTTCTTTGTCACTTAGTCTATCAGTTGTCACATACTGGAGTGCGCAGACGTGATTCCAGCTGGTTTGTCAAATCCACACCATGAATCCATCAGCACACGAAAGACTTATGCATGTCTGTGTTTCTCAGCTGTTCCCAAAAACAGTTCTAGGGAACTTTTGAAGCTGGGCACTAACATGGGGTCTGCTTACACCCAAAGATTTATTCACAGTTTAAAGTCTGGCAAGGCCAGAAACAGCTTTTTATCTACACTAAAGCAGGGCCTGGTCACTTTTGCGGTTTCCACATTGTGAGGTACGCCCAGTCCGAGACACATTCCTCTTTTCCGCATTCATCCTCAAATGTTTCGGTGTGTGTTCTGCTCCTGGATCCACTAAGGACAGCTACTCTATAATGGGTACTGGTGGGGCGGGGGTGAGATGGGGGAGTTAATGTCTGTTTTTATGAAGGAATGTAGGTTTGGCAGGGTAACGCCGCTAGTCATTGAATTTGTGCGTGTCCCCATAGAGCCACAGCTGTGGGGGCATTACGGCCTCGTTGAGATGGTTGCACTCGTCGCTGCACTTGCACGACTGGATGAACATCACGGACCTGCTGAAGCGTTCACCGTCAGGGCAGGCAAAGGTCACGTTAGCTGTGCGGGTGCGACGTGGCGAGCAGCAGCGGCCGTCCCGGCATACGCCACAGTAGTTGGGCCGATAGAGGCGAGTGCTCCTACAGCCAGCATATGACAGACGATGTGGCTCTGGGGCCTTATGGGTGCGAGAGCACTTCCTTCCTTTCTGTGGACGGAGAAAGAAGAAAGAAGCAATTCAGTTTTTCCAGTGAAAAGGCTTCACCAGGTGTCTACAGCCATGCACGCAGGGCTGTGAGGCTGTACTGTTCACCATCCTGATTTAGCCTGTCACAAGGGGAATGTTTCCAGTGAAAAGTAAATGAACTGATGTTGATGGCACTGACATAAAGTAGTGCCCAAATTTAAAACTTGACGTTGATCCTGCTATAATGTCACCAAAAATCACAGACTGTATATAAAAGGTGGACACGTATATAAACAATATCAGTTAGCAAACAGAGCAAGAGGGTTCCTGGTTCAAACCCCAGTCTGTCTCTGCATCTTAACCATCCAGGTGCAATTGTTTTCAAAATTGGCCACAAGTGTGAGGAAGACAAAGTAGATAGAACATAAGCTTTTTTTTTTAAAGCACGTCTCAGTGCAATCCTAACATCTTCACAGTTGTTCCATCACATCTCCCCCAAAAACACTGCCTTTGTTTTGTGTACTTTTACAGCATTTTTCTATTTTCTTGGCGTTTTCTAAAGTTGCACTGCATTTGACCTCTCAGGGCAACTGTACACTTGATCTCTGAGCTCTTTAAACACTTTCTCGCGGAATTTTTGGTCTTAATTTAGCGATTTGAGGTCTTATCGTTTTATAAATTATGATCAAAATAGCTAATAAAACATAGTATGCTTAATTGTGGGCTTACCTTGTGATTATCAAGTGGCTATTGTGTGAGGATGCAGAGTTTTTGGTCAGACCCTCCAATCACTAACTAATGGCTAATAGAGCTAAGTTTATCTTTTATATACACTCTATGATTCCAGTTTACCCTGAATGTGGACCAAACCTTACAGTGATCCAGTGATCCTGACATCCAGTGATGTCAGGAATAGTCAGGGGAACATGAATAACCGCATAAATTCACCTTACATACTTTACCTCTACCAAGTCTAAAGGTTGTCGAGATATTTAGAGAATTTGACTCTCTGGGTGATCCATAAAATCTGCTAACAAAGTCTCTCTTTGGCACAGGAGGCATGGGTGTGGTGTGTAGCCAGTTTAAAACTGTGCTCTAGTGAAAGCTTTATGGCTTCACGTTTGCTTGAAATTAGAACTGCCACCGTACCATAGAGCAGCATCAAGCAACTTGTTATTCATCGCTCATGACGTGAAAAACAAAGTTAATGGGCTGAAGCGAAATAAAAGGTCAGAACAGCAGATGAGCGCCGGAGAGAATAGCGTGCCAGCGATAGTTAAGGATTGACACTTGTTCCCATTAACACCCACAGCAGCTCTGCAAACACTGGGAGAGCTCAGAGAAACAGGTGCACAACAAGCCAATCAGCTTCATGAGTGGCTCGAGGCAGGGGGCAAAATGTTTCTGAGAGTGTTTTGTTTGAAATGTGAGAGAGCAACAGAGTGGGCGAAGTGCTCTTTAAATCACACAGCATAGTGCCACCGAGTGCAGCTGTCGGCCGCGGTGTCACGTCAGTGAAGGAGACAGAGTTATTCCTCTGTCGCAGCAGCAAAAAGTTCTCAGATTCACACTTATGTAGTCAAAGTTCAAACGCGAACATGAAGCCAGTAAAAAAGTGCAGCTTCGTGAATAAAGGAGCAGCTGAAAGTCGCATTAGCAGGTATCAATCTATTAATTATAGACTGTATATAAAAAAAACAGACACAGTAAGATGCATTTTGAAGCCTCTGTATTAGCATTTGGTCACCACCATGATGTTTTTTTGGTTTCTTTTACTGTGTATTTGTACAAAGAAACTGCATGATCTATGTGGGGTTTTTTGTTTGTTTGTTTGTTTTACACAGTTTGCCTTTGCAGTTATTTCCATCTTAAATTCTGTGTTTAAAATTTAAAAAAAAAGTTTAAAGTTGTGCCTTTTAGTTTTTTAGTAGTCATCATATTTAGTAGTAATTTAGTAGTAATTAAGCAAATTAGGTTTATTATATTTGGGTAGATCAAAGTGATGATGACATGAGCTGTACCATGTACAGGATGGGGCCGTTGCC